CGTCTCATCTTTTCTTGATTGAGGACGGTGAGGCAGCATTCAGACTTTGTGACGCGGGTCGACGCGCAGCGGCGCGCTGTAACGCGCGTAGGTCCGCTAGCATTAGAGCGCAATTGGAGTGCTACAGACGGAAACATAGCCATAGATGAGTGTCGATCAGCGCCGACTGGTACTGCTTTGAGAGTACGGTAGAATGGGATTGTGCAAGTGACACGTTGAATGTTCAATGGGCTAGTACGCAGCCCATTGCAACGCGTCGACGTGAGTTTAGAATCAAATTGAAGCTGACTCCACCAAAGCTCACGAAACTCAGTGAGGGGGTGCAGTTGAGGAGTGAGTGACCTTTTGACGTATCTTATTCGAGGCGGAGAAATGAAGCCTCTGGCTTCACTGCCGCGCTTTTTTAAATAAAAAAATTTGTTCACTTCGCGGCTGTGGACCTGCCTGCTTTGTTCAGAAAAGATCCAAGTGAGCGCGTAGTGTGTCTTTAGTTTACCTGTCGCCGCCTTTACTTGTGATTGCCATTTTCAGAATGAAAGCCGCGTTTGAACGAAGAATGGAGCTTACACCGATTCTTAGCACAAATGTTCGCGTGTTAGAGGCTGTGGTGAGCCTTGTTTTGACTATGGCGCTATCTGCCTTGGGAGGAGCCAAGTTAGACTTTTTGCGTCAACGCATAGCGCTCAGACTCTGAAAGCACTAGGCTCTTAGGTAATGCTCACAAATGCAGGATTTTGGCAGCATGTGCTGCTAGCAAGCCCTTGCTTCACGACCGGCTGGTTTGCTTATAGGAAGAAAGTGAGCGAAACCGCCATAGACAGTGCTTTGAGCTTTTGACCAACAGACCAGTCCCTCCCAAGGCAAATAGCGTTCAGCCTATTTTTAGATCATGAGCTGAAGTAAGGTCTAGTTCGGATTTCTACTAGTTCCCTTTAGTTAGTGAATGCCAACAGTACAACTCGTTTGGAACTATTTCACACTATGGAACAAGATGGATCATTGGACTCCTTGACTCAATGGTCCTTCGTGAGTTGCTCTTCCTACCTCCTTCTTCTTGAGCATACTCTTAAATTTGTTAGACAGTCATATTCTAGGGACTCGCTCAAAATCGCCATAGCGTATGGCAGGCAGGTGAGCCGTCATCAAGTGAGGCAGCAAAACGTTTCCACGTATTTGCGTTTCCGGTGCTGCGCATATTTGCCTCGTATATCAAAACTTGTAACGAACTTATTGGCGGTGCGCACAAGGTGAGTCCTCTGTTTTAAATATTTTTTATCCAGGCTTTCTTACAGACAAACTGTAT